GACAAGCTGAGCTTAGACCGTATCATTCCCCTTTTCCAGACAGGGCTCTGGAAGGAGGGTCTGCTGTGGGTATGGCCTTTAGCTGAGTGAGTGATGATAAAGCTCCTGCCAGTATGGGAACCAACTGCAGCTCTAAAGATACGCTTTCTTCCCTGAGGCAAGAGAGAAAGAGAGAGACCACCACAGGTGACTACCAACTTTATTGCCTCTGTGTTCAAGTCCCAGGCTGGGGTTCAGTGATCTGGGGGGGGGGGGCAGCAGGCAACTTGAGGCCCAAATTATTGCTACTCTGCAAGGTCATCTTGGGGCTTCCCATAGTGCCCTGAGAATGGGTGGGGTGAGAGCATGCAAATGATATGCAAATGGCATGCAAACCAACCCAGGATCTTCCAAAGGTGTCTGGTACAACCACTGATGCTAGAAATTTTAGGGCTGATCCCAGAGTGATAAACACCTGAGTCTCTCTCTCTCTACACTATAGACTGAGTTGGCCTAGCCTCAAGGGTTAAGGTTCCAGGGTTTGAGGGGGTCCCTGAGCATCGGCCCTGGTTCTGCCACTGGTTGAGGAAGAACAGAAACTTAACCCCAAAGCAGCAAGCAGAAAGCAGGACTCCCCTAGGCAGCCGGAGAGGTAAGGGATCTGCCTGGGTCACACAGCAAGGAAGAGGATAGGAGAACCAGTATCTGGGTTTCCTGAATCAGACAGAAGCCCAAATGGTTAGAAGCTACCAACAGTAAAATAAATAAAGCAAGCAAATGGCCTAGCTCCTGATCCCTGGGCTGAGAGACCTTCTACCAGCTGACCAGGCCTTTAGCCTGGGAACAGGCAGATTCCTTGATCTTAGTGTAGTGTCTGCCAGTGCAGAGGGTTCTAGAATGGTAGGCAGGGCTGCAGTCACCAGCTTAAGCAGAGCCGACTCAGTTATTATTCATAATCCACCAGGAGGCTGTGGGTGAAAGATTGGATGTCAGGAGATATGGGGGCCCCCCCTCCTGGGTCCCAGAGCTGTTTGGAGTACAGGGGTGCAGCGCACCTGGGAAGAACACAGTGGTGAGAGTATCCGGCGCCTGCAGGTGATCGATGAGGGTGCGCTGGAAGGCCTTGCTGCAGGGTGACTGCTGGTGCCTGGGAGGCCATGGAACAGACAGGCTAAGTCATCGGCTCTAAGGTGGGTGCTCTAGGTCATACACACTAGTCTGGCTCCTGGACTCAAGGCACCAACCCTTCCATTACTGCTTCTAGCCTCAGTCCTCCCCTTCAGAAAACTGGGAACAAGGTACCTCCATCACTAGGCTACTGCCAGGACTAAATGAAGGGCCCTAGCACAGAGGGCATACTGACAGTAGTGTACACTCATGGTGTGCCTACTGTGCATCTGTATTGTATTGAGTTTGGAGGGTTTGTGTTAGATACAGCTTGTTATATATAGCTCAGGTGACCCTTGAATCAGCGATCCTCCTGCTTCTGCCTCAAGTGCTGGGATCATTGGCTGATGCAGCCATAGCCAACTTGTATTATTATTTTGTTTTGTTTGTTATTTTGGTTTTTATTTGTTTAGTTTTTTGAGTATTGGTTTTGTTTTTGTTTTTGGAGACAAGGCTTTGCTGAATTTGCTGTGAGGTCCAGATTAGCCTTGTAGTCTGAGCCTCTGCCTTCAGGGTTGACATTACAGGCATGCACTCAATACCTAACTTTCATCTATTCCTTACACATCATCTCCTCTGAGACCAGATGTGTTAGGCTAGTTATCTGAAGTCACACAGCCAGTGAATAGGAGGGCAGGACTTGAACCTAGTCTGACGCCCTCTAGAACCCCATCAGTGTCAGATGTTAGACCACCACCACCACTCACCTTCTCCAAGAGGCTTCATCTTTCCAGAACTCATATAGGGTGAAAGCAGCATTGTCTAGCATCTTCTGGGCAGACACACTGCAGAACCAAAGAGGTAGCCAGGCTGGACCACAGCTATGACCACCACTGCCTACCTGCCAGGGATCTCATGGGAAGCCTGCCCAGAGTCCCCAGCCCACTGCCCCTCTCTGCTCCCACCCACTCACCCATCCCACTGGCTCTCCAAAGACTCACTGCAGGCAATGGCTTTGGGCCCCTGTGAAGTTCATGTAGCAGCACAGAGCACGGTGAAAATCCTGCAGGGCATCCTCTGACACCTGTACTTGCCTCTGCGCCACAAGGATGTGCTGGTAAGAAAGCAGCTAGTTAGGGAACAAGCCAAGCTCAGGGTATAATCCAACCTTCCTAGTGTGATCCAGATCTGCCTCCTATGGGATCAAGTCTCCACAGACAACAAGATCTCCCAGCACCTGACTCCATCCTTCAAGCCATTGACTGATCCTCTACCTACCGTACCACCTCCCACTGTGCTTTCTAGCTTCCATTCCTACCTCAGGCCTGACTTTCACAGATACAGATGAGAGAACAGAAAACCTAAGGTAGTCACAGGGCAAGAACCAAAGACTAGCACCTGCCTACCAGACCTGGGTAGACAGGTCAAGTACTCCTTCCCAAGCTCACCGAGTTAAGACCCTTGGTGAGGTCCTCTTCATGCGTGGGTTCCAGCCGGGGTGCCTGCGAGAGACACAGAATATAGACTGAGCCTCTAGTTTGTATTGGCTTGGACAGGTATGACAGAAGCCCTCTCTGAGGGGCAGTGGCCACCCAGCCGCTTACCTTGCACTCAAGCTGGTCTATGAGCTCCTGGAGGCGGTTGACCTGCAGCCGCCACTGCAGCTCAGCCTCTGAACTGTGCCCTGGCAAAGGGACCAGGAGGACATCAGCTAGGGGCCCCTGAAGGGAGGCCACTCAGGGTGAACTGGGAACATTGGCAGAGCAAAGCCCTGAGAGAATAGGAGATAGCACATCTTTGCTGGCCCTGTGCAGCCAGGTCCTACCCTGCCACAGGCACACCTGTATCAGAGGATCCAGGAGACCAGGTTGGTGACCAACTGATGCTCCTCAAGGCTCTACGTCCCACCCTCCGGCTGCCACAGGGCCTACTCTGCACTTTGGTATTTTCTTCATCCAACCTAGAAAGTAGAAGGTTAGCTCATAGGGTCAAGGACTGGGATTTCAGCACAGGACCAGACTTAGGTGAGGCAAAACAGGTTTCCTGGGTCTTTGAAGCCCAGGCCAAACCACTGATCCCCTCTCAGCAGTTCATGCCTCCCTCCCAAAAATGTGGCCTCCAGAAGGCTGGATGGAACAGGATACTGAGGAGTTTGGAATGCAGAAACAAAAGACACCCACACACCCACAGCCAGCAGCGCCCTCACGTACCGCTGACCACGGGCCTGGGCCTCCAGTGTGTCTGATGCCCCCTCCAGGGAGGTCTGCAGGGCCTGTAGCTGATTTACAGTCTCCCGAAGCAGGAATCGTGTGACAAACTGGTCCACCTTGGAGGCCTGTTCATACTCCTGTGGGCAGGGCAGAGAGTGTCGTTGTCGTAAGAGGGAGCTTCTCTTACTCATGAGAGAAACAGTGAAGGTGGATGGAAGGGATGCAGGCCCAGCACAGGCTAGCTACCACCCACTGTCTGTCTTTGTTTCCAGACAGACAGGGTCTTACTTTCTAGCCCAGGCTTGCTTTGAATTGTCATCCTCCTTGTATGCCTCCCCAGTGCCAAAATTAAAGGTAGGTACCATTCTCCCAGCTTCTAAGGTCCCTTTTCCCAGTCCAGATGGGCTTTGTTCATCCTCACAGATAGGAGGCTGGTTCACAGGGATCATACCCTGCTGGCACACTGCGTTTTCCTGGATCTCAATTCCTCTTTGAAGTTAAGGCTCTTGCTTACTTTTGCAACAGCATGTGAGGCCTCTGGGCATACCCAGGCAGGGTGAAGGTACAGGGGCATGAAGGCCAGTTTTACACATGGTACAATATGACATGTGATATGACCCCTTACTGGCCTGCATGTTTGTTCTTTCATTATTCCATTCCCCCATACATTTAACATTTACTGCATGCACTTTGTGGGAAGCTACGTATATACAAGACATCTAGGTCAGAACAGACACAAACATACTTAACTACCCTGAGCTGAGCTTACACTACCAACCTCCCCTCAGTTCGTTGGAGGTGAGCAAAGACAGGCATTCTGACCATACATCAGACCTAGTGCCAACCATCTTGGAACACTCACACTCCTCAGCTGCTTTCATCTTGTGCCTCAGTTTCTCCCACAATACTGCATTGAGATTCCCCTCAGTTACTTTCTACATAGAACTAAGCCTAGTGCTTGCAGTCTGAGTTTTCAATCTGAAAATGTCACCACTATTGTGGAAGTGTAATCTGCCCACGTACATGCATGGACAGTCAAGGATGCCCTTAGAAGCCCTCACCCTACCACCACTACCACATACCCAAACCTAAAATGGGAATCCCAAGGAGCCACAAAGATCCAGGCTCCATGGCAACACCTACAGGGGGGTTCATTTTTGGTGTATGACCTGCTTTGGCTCAGCTAAGACGATAGCTTCCAGACCAGGCGTATAACAAACAGGATAGGGTATTGCCTGCGTCCTGCCCTAAGTGTGTAGGTTCTGTTTCCATGTCATATTTTTAGTTAATTTCCCTTTGGAGGTATAAGATCAATTTTCTGCTTTTGCAGCCAAACCTGGCTGGTAGAACCAACCTCCTTATACCAGACTCACCTCAAGAATTTTGTTTAATCATCATGACAATTTTTAGTATACGTAATTGACTCCACTTTGTATCTGAGGCTTTGAAAGGTTGAATCTTAGCCAAGGTTAAGTAGCTAATTAGTGGCAGGATTCAAATCAAAGCCATAGAAATTCCTCTCTACTCACCCTTAAGCACCTTATAAGCATTGCCCTGTTTTGCACCCAGGAAACTAAGACCAGAAGAGGTCATAAACAGATTCTCCTGGGAGTTCCAGGGGAGGAGCAGAGCTTTGACGTGGTGAGATCACTTGTGAGCTCACAATACAGTTACCCTGATGGGGCGGGGTCAAACTGGGGCCCCTGGCTAGAGGGCAGGGCCGAGGCAGCATGGGCAGTGGCCTCTAGTGACCAGTCCTATCATGGGAAACAGCAGTTCCCACAAGAGGACCAAAGCACCTAATCAGGCCAGCAAGGACAGGCCACCTGACATGGACAAGGCCCGTCACAAGCAGTTCTTCAGCCACCTCAAGCGGAAGAAGCCAAGTGTGAGTGTGGAGAAGCTGGAAGGGATGCTGGGTGCTGGAATCTGCGTCTTTAGCCAGGGGCACGAGGGGTTAGAGAATCTCTCTAGAGGAGCAGGATCCCTATAGGTAGTATAGGGGTTCTAGAAGCACCAGCTTGGGGTAGGGGGTGCTCTCTCCAACCAGGGATCAAGCGTAGTGTATCTGGGACCACAGACCTGAAGTAGTCTTCCTCTCTCTAGCCCACAGCCTCGCAACACGCCACTTTCCCTTTCTTTCAATGGCGAGAGGCTCCTGACCCTGCCCGAAGGGGTGAGAACCCCCGCATCAAGGCCGGGAAAGTATGCAGTGATTTGACCTAGGGTGAACAATGGGTTCCTATGGGGAGGCAGGGTCCCGGGTGCGGGGCACAGTGGGTCTCGGGAGGTTGGGTGGGTACGGAAGAAGCCTCAGGCCGCGCAGGGGCGTGTTCTTCCCTTCACACCGGCCCACCCCTAGACCAAGATCGTGTTGCTTTTCCCGCTGGACAAGCGGCAGCAGCTGGCCGAGGGAGCAGCGGGCCCATTTGTGCGGCCCGTGCGGCCAGCTGAGGACCCGCTCGGTGCCCCGACGTGCTTCCCAGCGGTGGCGCCTATGCTGCGCGGGGCAGGCGACGGCGTGGACAGGCGCGAAGGCGCGCGCGCGCGGGAGATGAAAAGGATCCTGGTGCTGCTGCTGCAGCTGGACGCGCGGCTGCAGGAAGAGGGGCGTCGAGTGTCAGGCAGGCCAGGGGGAGGGGCCAAGGCCCCCCAGTGCTGGCAGCCGCTGTATGCGCACCTGCTGACCCAACGCGAGGCCTGCGGCGAAGGCGATCCCCGCGAGGAGCAGCCGCGCAAGCGGCGCCGCTGTCCTCGCCCGCGGCCTTGAGTATCTGGCACGACCCCTAGCGCCAGGACTCTGCTCAATAAAGAGCACATAGCAAGCCCGGCGTCTGCTACTTCTGTCCCTGCCGTCGGTCCCGGGATCAAAACTGAGGCCCCGGGTGAGTAGGAGTAAACAGTACTTAGCACAACCACCACCATGACCTGGAGCTAGGGCTACCTTTAACTTAATTTTTTTTTGTGGCACAAAGGGTCAGCTCATGCCAAATCCATAGACTCAAGGTGGACTTGAGCTAACTACTTGGCAACACTAGGAAGAACTTGTTTCAGGCAACACCTTGAGATCTCCGAGAGTCCCCAACATTCAAAAATCCCTCTTAGGCAGAGGGAGGGTTTCAGGCTAACAGACATCATCCCAGGAAGACCAGGTAGGCTGGTCAGCCATGGTGGGGCTGGAACCTCAGATTCTGCTGATGGCACATACTCAAGAAAAGGGTCTCTCACGCTACTGCCTGGCAGGTCCCAAGCACTCAGCTCCCCCAAATTTTAGGGTCCCTTAATCAGAGCACTTTCTCTGGAGGTACCAGTTCCATCCTCTACCTCATTTGTAGCCAAAAGTTTCTTCCAAACCACTAATCTGTCTATGGCAAATTAGTTTCCCCTGCTTATAATTCTCACTGTCTCTCCACTACCCCTCCAAAGGCCAAGGCTCAAATCAGTGTATGTACCCCCCCCCCAGCTCCCCATCCTGTCCGCCTTCAGTGCTTGCCCTCTGCTCCTCCATACTGACATGGCACCAGTGGCCTCCAATGTGACTCTTACTCCTTACATCACTCCTGAAAGCAGCAGCATGCTCTGGGCAGAAGCCAAATACTGGCTTTCTTAGATCCCACACCCAGCTCCAGACCAGACCCTAAAGCCACCACTTTTGACTCTGACAATACCAGCACTCAACAGGATGGGGTAGGAGTATCTTGAATTCAGTGCCACAGATTGCTTCAGAAAACAAAAATTCTTGCGTCTCCTTTCCTGCTACACACTGAGAACGCTTCCCTTGGGCCAGAGGTAGCAGAATGTCTCAGCTCACTGGAACCATACGCTATGGAACTAAGGATGCACTTCTGTTACTATCCACAGGCTGGAATTGTGCTGGAAAATGAGTGACCCATACATAGCATATGTCTCCCTACTTGAGAGGTAACTGACCTGTCAGTTATCAGTATATGCATGCTTGTCTCAAGCTGGCTCGATCACCTCCCCCACAACTGTAATTGTGAACTTTAATAGACCTTCCCAGTTACAACCATATGGTCAGATCCTGTTCCTAAGACCTATTTTGCCCCTTTGATCCAGAAAATATCCAGGATCCTTATAATAAAATCCTTATTTTAGCTTAAGTGCATCTGAGTCTTCTATTTGCAACCAAAATATCCAGGAGGCAGGGCTTATTGCTACCTTCCAAAGTTAGAAACACCAGGAAAGAGATTTGCACTTGCTTAGGGTAGCTATGTGAGCTTCAGAACTGAAGGGGTCAGGCCAGACCTCGTGCTGCTGTCATGGCTGGGCACAAAGAAAGTACCTGTAGATGTGTGTGTAGTTTCTCTTTAGAACCGAGAGTTAAAGTGCTGCACATCTAGCCAGAGTACACAAATACTCCAAACAGTTGGGAGAAAGAATTAACCACTGTGTGGGCCAGACAGGCCCTTAACATGGGCTCCCAAACGGCTGCTGCCATCAGCCCACGCAAGGGGTGGGGGTGGGGGTGGCTGCAAGACTGAGGTCATAATGAGCCCAATCTAAATTCCTTAAACGATTCCTTCCCACCTCTACAGCCAAGCTAGATAACGTGCCAAGAGAGCTGCCTAGGAAGGCTGGGACTTTGGGACCCTAAGGAAAAATCAAGTCTTGACTAACAGTGACACTTTGAGATAGTGCCACAAAAAAGAACCGCTACTCTTAAGAGGCGGAGCCTCATAGCCAGAGGCGGATCTGAGAACTGAGAGGGCTGGTTATCCGCCCTGGGCCTTCGGGGCACACTGAGCCCTGAAGGTGGCGTCAGTGCACCGGACACGCCGCGCCCGCAGGCTGCCTTCATTGGACCACGTTGCTGTGGTAGTGGACCAAGGCTCGGGCTTCACCAAGGCAGGCTTCGCTGGGGAGATCAAGCCCCGCGTCGTGCTGAAGAGCTCGAGTCTGATGCCCAGTTGGGACCGACCTGTGCTGCCAGGAGCACCGGGTTGCGAGCTGGCGGGCGGCGTGGCCCGTGCGCATCCTATCAAGCATGGAGTAGTGGTGGACTGGGACGCACTGGAGGGACTGTGGGAGCGCCTAATGGTGGGAGGCTTGCAGGTCCACCCCGAGCAGTGGCCTGTGCTGGTGAGCGACTCGCCATCAGCACCACCCGAGGGCCGAGAGAAGGTGGCAGAGCTGCTGTTCGAGGCTCTGACAGTGCCTGCGTGCCACATGGCCAACACGGCTCTGCTGGCACTCTGCTCCATCGGAGCTTTCAGTGGGTTGGCTGTGGAGGCGGGCGCGGGCGTGTGCCACGCCACACCCATCTACGCGGGTCACTCATGGCACAAGGCCACCTTCCGTCTCAATGTGGCAGGCAGCACCCTGTCGCGCTACTTTCGAGATCTGATGGTGGCAGCGTGCCCAGATCTTCAGCTGCAGGCTCTGCCCCGCAAGACCGTTACACAGCTCAAGAAGCGCTGCTGCTATGTGTCACTAGATTTCCAGAGTGATATCTGTGACCCTGCTCGCCACCAGAGGGCCTGTTTTTGCCTGGGCAATGGCTGCTACGTGCGCCTCGGCAGCGAGCGCTTCCGCTGCCCTGAACCCATCTTCCAGCCAAGTCTCCTAGGCCACCCTGAGCCAGGACTGCCCACGTTGGCCTTCCAGGCACTGCAGAAGATACCCACAACACTGCGGACACGGCTGGCCAATACGGTGGTGCTAGCTGGTGGTTCCACCCTTTTTCCTGGCTTTGTGGAGCGCATGAACCTGGAGCTGGAGGCACAGTGCAGGAGGCATGGGTACCCGGCCCTGCAGCCCTGTTTGGTGGCTCATCCTGGGCGGGGCACAGCTGTGTGGACTGGAGGTTCCATGATGGCCTCCTTGCACTCCTTTCAGTGCCGCTGGATGACTCGGGCCATGTACCAGGAATACGGCCCTTTCCTGGTGCGAGAAGTGTTCAATTGATTTTTATATTGAACAAGAATGGATGGTGCCACCAGGGGGTACTTCAGGAACAGAGGTTACAACTCTGTCCTAGCATGGAGACCCAGATAAAAAGATTCCAGTGTTCACAGCTGGCAGGGTTATCATATGGGAATGGGCTACCCGGTTCCCTTTCTGAGCTATCCCTGATCTTCATTTTGTTTTCAATTTGAATACTCAAACCAGTTTAGAGAATGCCAGTTCAGCAGGGCCAAGCTTTAAGAACAATACTTGAAAAAACTCTTACATGAGGGAACTAGAAGTCCTGTCCCTAGCTCTGTGCTCAGGTGATCTCTGAAGGTCTCATTTTAACTTTTTTTTGTATAAAGTAGCGTCAGAGAGCAGGAGTATAGTGTAGCACGTAGCAGGTGCAAGGCCTTGGGTTCTATTCTCAGTACCAAAAAAAAAAAAAAAAAAAAAAAGTATGGTCAGGTAAAACCCTAGGCCTGTCACCTCTACCCAGAAGAGCCATGAGAAGAGGAGATCTTTCTGGGTTTTTTTTGAGACAGGATCTCACTGTATTGCCCAGGCTGAACACTGGTTTCAGTCTCAAACTCTCCTGCCTTTTCCAGGTGCTGAGGTTAAAAGTGTACGCTACCTCCAGGCAGTGGTAGCGTGAAAATTAATATCAGCACTCGGGAGGCAAAGGCCCGTGGATATCTGTGTTTGAGGCCAGCCTAGACTATAGAGCAAGTTCCAGAACATCCAGAAATATACAGAGGAAAAGAAAGTATAAGCTACCACACCTGCTCCTGGCCAAGATGGTTCTTAACATGGAAAAGGAGGGTTGCTTTTGGTTTTGTTTTGTTTTTGGTCACTTTCAGGATCTGGAGCACTGGCTGTTAACATTTGTCTACACAGGTTATAGCACAGGCCAACAAACTAGGCATATACACATCTACTGTCTCGCATGTCCTGAGGTTAGGCCCTGTCTCATAGTTCATACATGCCTCATGTACCTGTGAACATGTATGAACTCATCTATGTCCCAGACTGTGCCTACTGGGTCCTGGTGACAGCCATTATAATAGGCCAACAATGCTATGTTGCTTGCAGTGTTTTGGGCACAGGGAACAGAGCAAGGAACAAAACATAAGCTGTCTGCCTCCTCCCTCCCCAACAGGGTCTCACTCTAGGCAGACTGGCCTGAAACCGACAGTAAATCTTACTGCTTCTGCATCCTGAATGCTGAAAGTACAGGTGTGAGCCACCATGACTCACTAATTGTTCATTACAGATGAGAAAACTGGCTGGTGGAGAAAAGGGTACCGTTATTAAGCGGGATTGCCAAGACTTGAACCCAGCCTCCATTTCTACATCCCTGAGCCACAGCAGGACAAACCTCCACTGCCTCTCTGAACCATGTGACTTGAGGCTCCCCATCAGCCCTTCCCTGCACTCACCAGCTTTGTTGTGTCCATGGCAGTGAGCACTGCACGGTTCAGAGACTCCAGCGCAGCCAGCACAGGCCGATAGACACCCAGGTGTGTGGAGAAGTAGTCTGTAGGCAGAAGATCCAAGGGCTCCAGCCTAAACCATATCCCCAGCCTGGAATTCTTCAGCTGTCTTCTGATCCCAAGAGGCCAGCCCCATAAAGCATCCCTCACCACACCCACCTACCCAGGGGCTGGGACACAGGAGCCCACATAGGCCTACTCACCACACAGCTTCTCTGTTTCTAAATTGCTGTGGAGGAAAAAGAAAACATCTTTCAGACTCTTAGCACCTGGGCCTGGGAAACCAGACACATGCCAGTGTCCTCAACCCTTCTACTCAGCCTCACATGGCATGTCTGCTGGAGGAGGGGCCATGGGCCCTTCAGAGGGTCAGTCCAAGTGCTTGAAGACTTGAGTGCTGACCTAGTCTGGGATTTACACTAAGGAGACAGAAGGGAAGGGAAGGGGAGGGGAGGGGAGGGGAGGGGAGGGGAGGGAGAGGGCAGCTGTGCACGTTCACAGCTTGTGTGTCCCCAAGTGAAGAAGCTGGGAAGGAGTGTACACTTGAACCAGATGTGGACATGTGGGAGGTGGGAAAGTGTGGATTCCTGCATCTGCATCCACAGGCAGAGGCAGGCAGAACCCAGCTGTCCTCAAACATCCTCTGCTTTGGAATGGAAGGGCTGAGCATGGTTGGTGACTCAAGTCTGGTTATTCTGGGTCCCAGCTGGAATCAGTGTAACAGTAAGACTGGAGCTGGAGAAGGTGTGGGTGGGTTGACAAAGTTGGCACTGAGCCCTGTCATCTTTCCCCACCCCCTGTCCTCCAGAAAGAACCTGATAGCAGGGGACACAGTGGGTTGGGACAGGCTGGTCTGGCTCTGCCATAGCAAGCCAGCCCTTCTATTGTACTCACTCAGCGAGATGCTCGTCAATGCCGCTGAACAATTCCCGCAGCTCCGCAGAGCTGAGAACCCCATCAGCAAAGTAATTCTGAAATTCTTCAAAGGAAAGCTTACCATCATCTGGGGAGAGACAGGGCATGGTGTTGCTATCCTTGAGTCCTAGCTGCATCCTGTCCCCAGACCCAGGCTCCTCAGAGGCCAAAAGCATTCATAATCACTCAGCCAGATAGCCTAGGGTTCTGATCCCAGTGGGGGCCCTGACTATTTTCCACAAAGGGACAAGAGTTCCCCCAAAAGTATACGCTGAAAAAAAAAAATAGGTCCCTCCTTGTACATGGTACATTTGGTAGGGACTCAATGTCTGCTAAATGGAAGTATGAGAGAACAGCCTGAGACACATCAGAGCATAGCTTAGGACTTAAGGGAACAGTCCCTGATTCCATGAACCAGCCTTGCCCCGGGGTAGAAGAGACCTCTGTGTTCTGGCCCTTCCTAAGAAGTCACAGAGAAGCATTCAAAGCCTACCCACCAGCCAGACTCTACAAAGTAGCAGACTGGCTAGCATGAGAATGAGCTTTCCTCATAGAGCGTATAAGCAGAGGTAGAGCGTAGAAGGGCAAGATGATTAAAGACAATGAGATTTGCTATCTGATCTGTAAGATGGGAGGACTGAGCCTCTATGGCAGAAGGTATTGAGAGCAGGTATCTTTGCGGGGAGGAAGTTAGGCTTCTTTTTTTTCCCAAGACAGAGTTTCTCTGTGTACCCCTGGCTGTCCTGGAACTCAGAGATCTACCTGCCTCTGCCTCCTAAATGCTGGGATTAAAAGTGTGTGCCACTATCACCCAGCTTGAGAGTATGTATGTTAAATTAATGGTCCCCACCAATTTGAAGAGACCCATGAAAGAGCAAGCACTGGAAACACAGAGGCTGAAACAAGAGTCTGCAGGCCCAGGAAGAAGAAAAGTAAAAGCCAAGTGGGTGTCCACCCCTCATTCAGGGAGCCTAGAGTGATGTACCACACAAATCTGGATTCCAGGCCCACAACTGACTCACTTCTCTGAGCCTCTACTCCTCTGCCCATGAGATGGAATGAAGAATTCCCACCTAGCAAGCTATCGTAAGGATATCCCAAGGTCTTGCACACCCATCACTGAGCTGGAGTACTGTCTTTTTTTGTTTGTTTGTTTGTTTGTTTGGTTGGTTGGTTGGTTTTTCGAGACAGGGTTTCTCTGTGTAGCCCAAGCTGTCCTGGAATTCACTCTGTAGACCAGGCTGGCCTCGAACTCAGAAATCCGCTTGCCTCTGCCTCCCAAGTGCTGGGATTAAAGGCGTGCACCACCACTTCCCAGCTTGGAGTACTATCTTTTTTTTTTTTCTGGGAACCCCTTCCCCCAACATACACACACGCACACACACACAAGTCATAGGGTGATGGGAGTACGGGTTAACTAGTGCAGGAATGGGTGCTGTGGTAGGTGGAAGAGGAAGGTGAACCCGCTGGAACACAGCATGCTTCACATCAGACTACCTGGGCAGGACTGCTTGCAGACTTCCATGGCTAATACACTCGCAGTTGGAGTACTGTCTTAATATAAGCACCCACCTCCACCCTCAGATCAAGCCTCACTTCCCTGACCCCTATTCTGTGCACTCTCCAGGAAGGGTTCCTTGTTTGATCTCCCATTTTGGGCTCTCAAGACTTCACTCCAAGCTGCACCTCCAAGTCCCTAGCTATCCTACCCTGTCTCCCACACTGCACCTCCAAGTCCCTGGTTCTTGTACTCTGCCCCCTACACACACACACACACACACACACACACACACTGTGGGACCCAAGGGAAAGAAACCACTCACCATTCTTGTCTGCTCTACGGAAAACCTAGGGGACAAAGGGAAATAAGTGGGCGCTGTGAGGGGATCCGGGGAAGTAGGAGTCCCCCCCCAAGCCAGTGGGGCCCCAGCTTGCCAGCCAGCCTCCCTGCATCATCTCCCCCCTGCTCAGGGCAGTCCTGCAGAAGTCTCCAGCAAGGTAGCACAGGAAGATCGCACAGCAGGCCCTAATGCTGACTCCCTCCTGCTGTAGGGCTGGCTTCACGGTGGGTGGGTGCTCCTGGCCAGCTCTCTGTACCTTCACCTCCCACAGCTGGAGTGGAGCCCAAGTTCGCTCTGATGTAGCAGCCTTTGGCATGTTCCCAGCTTGAGGAAGCTTGGACAGATGGGCTAAGATTCATCCTGAGAAGCCTTGGAAACCATATCAGATCTGAATCCCCCACCCTGACTTCTGGGTATTCTCCCAAGTCCACACTATTCTCCATCCTGCCCTCTCTGAACAGGCTCTTTCCCTTGTGCCTGCTTAAGACTGGCAGGCAGTAGCTGGCCTGTTGTGGTGCTTTGGTTTTCTCACTGGTATGTGAGGGAGCAGCTTAGAGTTTAACCCTTTCAGGGCTGGGACCTCTTATAAGGCCAACTCACGAAGACTGTGGGCATCTGTGTATACACAGTTCTGTACGGAGCAAGGAGGATGGCAAGGGTCAGCAGATTTTATTTGTAAAGGCAATGATGAAACAGACAAGTTCAAAGCCTGGACAGAACCCATATAGCCCTGGGTCCTGAATACTAAACTCTTCCACCCAACTCCCTCAGGGTCACTGAGCTAACCAACCAACATAGCCCTTGGGCTGACTCAGAGAAGGTCTGCTACTAGATTGGGATAGCACAGCAGCTCAGTGTGGCTTGGCTGGGGTAATTAGGTTGGGAGTGGGGCAGGAGAGCTAAGCTTGGAATGAAGACACTCCATCTACATCCCAGTGTGCCTCCTGACCTGGAACATGCCTCCTCGGGCCTGAAGGACCACGGTCAAGGTGCTGAGTCACTAGGGCATTGGGCAGGGGGCACGACAGACTCTTTCACTGGCAGGGACTTCTAGAGTAGGGGCAGGAAAGAGGACCTGCTGAGCACACAGTAAAAGCGGGAAGAGGGATGCCCAGAGCTAGGACTCCTGCACTTAGAGCTTTGCCTCCAGCTAGGTAGCACAGGAAGATTGCACAGGGATCTGAAACAAGATAGGATGCTCTAGAGCTACGAAAGGGGGCTCAAGGCCACCTGCTGCCCATGAGGAGTCCCTTACCAACTGTTAAGACTCTGCCACCTTTGATCAGGCCTGAGGCTTCTGGGGTAGGACGGAGCTCCTTCTAGGTCTAGGCTCTCCTGTCCTATCAGCCCAGCAGGGGCTGCCATGGAGCAGACTGCTGTGACTGACTGTTGACAGCCCCTAGCCCCACTGGGCACATTTGGGGTGGGGGGTAGTACTGCTGAGGGACAAGGAGAGACACGGAGTGGCACAGACATGGAACACAAAGGCAGGAATATCAGAACAGCAGGATCACGGTCTAGGAGAGGGACCGAAGCAGGACCAACAGATGTGGACAGGGACACGGAGGACTGAGACCTAGAGAGCCCGATCCCCGCCCACCGGTGCCCCACTCACGTCCTGGAAAAGCGCTTGTCCCGCGGCAGGCGCAGAGTGTCGCGGCGGCTGGGGCGCAGGTGGCCCAAGCAGGCACACAGTGAGCAGCCCGGCGCACGCCATGGCTTGGAGGCTTGCAAGGCTGCGGGTTGCGGTTACCAGGCCGCCCAGACTGGCTGGGGGCGGGGCGCACGCCCATTGGCCCGAGCACGGCCCCGCCCCCACCTGGCCTCGGTTTCCCCGCCTGGAAGAGGCATCCAAAAGGAGTCGAGTAAGGAGTCACCCCAGAAGTCGCTGGCAACATCTTGCCAGGAATTCGACAGAAATGGGTGCTCCACCCAGTCGGGTGTGGGCAGACAAGGCTCTAAGTGCAGGAGCCCTAACAGATAAGACCCACAAGCTTTTTTACATCTGGGCACTTGCCTGCCAAATGAGGATAACAATAGGCGCCTCCCCCTCCCCCCCTCTGGATTGTAAAGAAGTAAATATAGAGCTTAACATTGTAAATGCTCAGTTGAGAGGACTTAAACCTATGGCTTAGTGACGCTAGCAAGCCATGGATCCCCAGTCACCCCGTCCTTCTCCCAGATATTTGCCCCAGCACCTCTTTCAGGAATCTTCCTGGTCTTCTCACTCACAAGGCCTAGAGGGAGGGAACACAGGCTACAAGAGTAGCCCACGCACATACACACAGGAAAGCATATGACACAAACACAGCTCACTGTGTGTTGCATCTTTACTAATGCTCAGAAATGACCAGAAGATGCACAGCAAGCAGACCCTGACACTCGCCTTTCTGTACTTAGGTAACATGCGTAACTTCCTACCCATCACTGGGTCAGTTTTCCTCTTCTCAAGGGGTTACAGACCGAAAGGAAATTAAGTCAGACAGGAACAGGGAATGAACACTCCCTCCAGCACTAGCCTCACGCTGGCAGCGAGTCCCAAACCCAGCCCTAACACCATCAAAATATTTATTAAAATCAAAGCAGGAGGGAACAGAACTGTTAGGAAACAAATCAAAGTGCAGACTGGGGACAGGGAGGACAGTGGAGGACACTCCAACCACAGAAGGGACCCATATCCACCCCTCCTGGCCACCATCAGCCAAGGCCCTCCCACACTGTCCCCATATCAGATCCACGTGGATGCTGCGGCCAGGGCGCTGGTACAACCTTCTAAAAAAGGACTGTTTCTCCAGCCCATCCACAGCTGTCAGTCTGTGTCCTTCTCCCTTTCCCAATAAATAACTGCTTGGGCCTCAGCTCCTCTTGGGTAGGGGACCCTGCCCTTGCTTCAGAGAACAGGGAGTTGGGGTATCAGCCCCATATCTTCCCACCCTTTGCTTATCCCCCAGGTTTGCCAGAGGCCTCGATAAATAAATAAACGCTCCATTAAAGCTTCGATCGGAAAACTTTTAAGCAGTGCTCTTGCTGCCCTGCAAACCCGGCTAGCCAAGCTGCACCACCCAGCCTGGCTGACACACAGGATTCTGGAAGCAGGCAGCCACCTGGGGCCTCACAGGGCCCCTGCAGCAAGGACACTGAAAGTGCAGTTAGAGCCCCACCCCCACCCCAATGCGCACACATGGATTCATGCACACATGTGGACACACCAGGATGTGTCTGCAGCACACATACAGATGTGTTCACCTTCATTCTCCGGCACGCGCAAGCACGCGCATGCACACACACACACACACAGACACACATACACAGAGACACACACCCCAGGTACAAGTGAGCAGTATGGGGTGCATGCACACACACTACAACATCCTTCCCCTTTCGGTCTGCTCAATGTGGCAGCAACCAAACCCCAGAGCTGGAAGCTACCGGACAGAGAAAAGGGTATAAATCATGCTATTCCAATGAGGCAGGAAGGATGGCCCAGGGCAGGAGGCTTCAAAGCTGCAGACAAGGTGGGCATCTCCAGACACTCTGAGTCCCTAGGCTTCTGTCAGAAATCCAGAGGGGTCAGGTCCCCAAAGTCACAGTCAAAGAGATCTCTAATGCCCTCACCCTCCTCGAGACCAAAGTGATAGTCAAGGGCCTCGTGGGGTGGGGAAAGGCTGATGAACTCCCCAGGGAGGAGTCCAGAGAAGTCTTCTTTAACATGCTCCAGGAGTGAGTCAGCAGCCACCAGTGGTGACAACCGGTCTTCTTCCAGGGGGGCCCTCAGGGTGCCCATTCGTGGCAATGCTGCTTCTGGAGAAGGGAAGCATTACAGGTCAGGAATGGCCCAGCAGGAAGGGCTATACATGGTTGCCTGCCAAATAAAACCAACTCTGCCCCTACCTACCTTGCTCCAGGCCTAACAGGGATTGGCTGGGATCCAAGGTTGGGGATATAGAAGGAGGTGATGGTGGAGGCCCTGCAGTGGCAGAGTCAGCGGTCCTGTCCTCCCCAGAGGATGTCTCCTGGCATGAGGTCCTCCCAGGGCTAATCCCCTCTGTACTCTCCTCAGGGCACAGGAAAACATCGATGGGGCCTTGTTTGCTCTTAAGGGAGATCTGAAATGTCTGGGTAGAGGCAGCAAGCAAGATAGGTGAGGCCTAGGTGACCAGCAGCCCAGCCCACTCTGTCTTGGTAAGGCTTGGGGTCTGAGTCTCACCTCTGAGGAATCCACAGCTTGTAGTTGGGTCTCAGGAGGGGCCTTGATCACTATGACCATCTGTTCTGCAGGGTCTGCAATGCTACGGAGGTCCTGGCAGGTCACATAGGCCAGGGTTGGGGGAGTCAAGGACCACGTGACCTTCTGAGGTGCCGCTGACTCAGCACATTCCTTCCTACTCACTCCTGTTTTGACATCCTCATCCCAGGGTCTGGCACATAGTAGGTGCTCAGAACTTCATTCCCAAACTTCAACTTCCTCAGCAGTTAGACTACCTACCCATCCAATTCCAAACTAATGGCTGCCTGTAATAATTCCACATCAAATGCTCACTAGGTCTCCAGGCTAAGAAATGGAAATTGATTTTGACAACCTTACTGTTAATTAATGATATTCACTAAAAGGCACAGTTTCTAATGAAGTTTCTTTTTGTGAATTAAAAAGTCTTAACTTTGAAGCTATAATCAGGAACTAAATTAACGACTAAGAAAAGGTTTGTCATTACTGGTACTAGGTTTCTCTTTGGTGGCCGGGTCCCACTGTGTAATCCAATGGCCTATGATTATCTTCATTTTTAGAGTGTCACTATATAACCTCAATTGGTCTTCATTGTTACAGTTTCTGCCTCATACCTGGCCCTGGGATTACAAGTATACACCACTCTACTGGGCTTTTCTTCTTTGTTTTGTTGAGATAGGGTCTCATTGTGTATCCCTGGCTAACCTTGAGCAATAGACCAGACCAACCTTGAGTTCAGACAGCCACACACCTCTACTTCCCCAAGAGCCTGGATTTTAAGGCTTGTACCCCGTGCTCAGCCTGGTTTTTCTGTATATGAGTGTTTTCCCTACATGTATGTGCACCACAGAAGTACCTAGTGCTTTTGGAGGTCAGAAGAGGGCATCAGATGCACTAGAAGTAGAATCGCAGATGGCTGGGAGCCACCATGTAAATGCAAGGACCTGAACTCGGATCCTCTCTAAGAGTAAACAAGTGCTTTTAACTGCTGAGCCGTCTCTCCAGTCTTCAGCTCTTTTAACTGCTGAGCCATCTCTCCAGTCTTCAGCTCTTTTTAAAATGTATTACTTATTTTAAAACTTAACTTTGGGGACTAGAGAGATTGATCAACAGTTAATCTGACTGCTCTGCCAAAGGGCCTGAGTTCAATTCCCAGCAACCACATGGTGGCTCACAACTATCTGTAATGGGATCCGATGCCCTCTCTGGTGTGTGTCTCAAGACAGCTGCAGTATACTCATATAAATGAAAAATAAATCTTAAAAAAAAAAAAAAAAAAAGGCAAAACCCAAACTTAATCTTGTGTGTCTGTATGTGCACACACATGCCACAGGGGTGTGTTTGTGAATGTCCATGTGTACATGTGTACATGTGTCGGTCAGAGGATAGCTTACAGGCATTAGTTTCCTCCTTCCACTGGGGACTCAGACTCAGGTGATCATGATTGGCCAAAAGCACTTCCACTTATCAAATCATTTGCCTACCCTTTTTCTTTTTGAGATAGCATTTCTAAGTAGCCCTGGAACTGGCTCTGTAGACCAGACTGCACTCAAACTCAGAGATCTGCCTGCCTCTGCCTCCCAAGTGCTGGGATTAAAGGCATACGCCACCACCACCTGCCTTTTTTTTTTTTTTTAACTATGTACAATTTTGGAAATGGATATTACTGTCCTCTCTTTTTTTTTTTTTTTTTTGGTTTTTCGAGACAGGGTTTCTCTGTATAGCCCTGGCTGTCCTGGAACTCACTCTGTAGACCAGGCTGACCTCGAACTCAGAAATCCGCCTGCCTCTGCCTCCCAAGTGCTGGGATTAAAGGCGTGCGCCACCAACGCCCGGCTACTGTCCTCTCTTTTACAGATGAAATTGAGGGAGGCCCATAAAACCCAAGTAACTTGTTCAGTGTCACATGGTGAGTAAATGCAGAGCCAGATCTTGTTTCCAAAGCCAGAATCTTTTATAATCTGAGCCCTAGTTAACCTCTAGTCTCAGTAGTGTGGCGCCACCACTGGCCAAGCCTGCCTTAAATGCACCCTGACCAATCCAAGGATATCGCTGGCTGTCTGAGTCCTCAGAAAGCAGTTGCAGCTGCGTGGTACAGATGTGCATCAGGTGATCCAGCTGCTGCTCACTCTCCTGCAGTTGCTGCAGGTCCTGGGTCAGGCCTTCAAGCCGCTTACCTATCCCCACCATGGTGTGGCTGCCTCTGTGGGAAGCCAGTGAAGAATTAGCAGTCCTTGAGCCCTCAACCCATCATCCATCAGCCCTAGCCCTCAAGACAATCTGTTGCCGCCACTATTCTGTGAGAAGTTGGCAAGTTCTTTTTTCCTCTGTGGCTCTGCTCCCCAGCTAGGCTTTGAGTTAGACTGGCACGGGCTCAGTAAAATGCCCAGTCAGTCAACAAACGCCTACATATCCCCACTACAGAGCCAGGTAAGGAACAAATAGCACATACATGCCACGGATGACACAGCTGAATTAGATGGACATACAAACATTTCTGAGACACACTGTCAAGTGAAAAGAAAATATAGAATGAAGAATCATCTATGAAACACCAAGGCAGACACATCAGAGAAGGCAGCAGGATGCCTGGGGAGGCAGAAGGAAGCGGGAGAAGTAGAAACAAAACCAAAAACTGTGTAAGGCTGATCTCAACGGTGACAGCAAAAGCGTAATGGTGGTAGCACAGTGGTCTAAGAAGGGGCAACAGTAGGAGAGGGAACAGGAAACCTTAAGCAAGGTGTGTGTGTGTGAGTGTGTGTGTGTACACGCATGGGAAACCTTGTACAGCTATAGGGAACTGGATCTGCAAGACTTGTCCATTCCTCCCCTTCTATCACCCCAGGGAAGGTAACGTCTTCGGACCTTGGTTTCCCAGCTGTTGGGAATGCAGGAAGACACTGCAAGCAATTTGGCTTGGTCTGGCTGTTACCTGCCCACCTGCCCGATGAGTACTTACAGCCACTGGATATGATTCTTAGACTTCTTGGAAATGAGCTGGATGCCCTCCAGGACATTGGTAATGTCATAGATGCGCCGTTTCTGCACCTTCAGCACCTCAGCTGCCCAGTTCAGGTCAACAACACCATCGGCTGAGCGGCTCAGCAGCTCCAAGAAGCGTTTGGTGGTCAGATTTAGTGAGGTCTCATAGCGTGACTTCTCCCCTGGAGATTTCACACCTGGGGGGCAGGGGTTAGGCAAACACTCAGCCTGCCCCCAACAGGCCTGTATCCCTAGCAATGTAGAGTGGCAAGATGAGGTGGGAGGCACATGGCTCCTTCCCCTTAGTCAGGCCAAGCAGAAAGGCTCTGTGGCTGTTGTCTGCCAACCAAAGCATTCCTCTTGTAGCTAGGCAACTCCCCACCTCCAAGGCCTGAGGAAGTCCCGTTAGGCAGCCATTCCAGACCCTTGCTGGGGCCCCAGAGTGTACAACCATATCCATGCCCCTCCCCCAGTATGGGCCTGAGAAGCTGGAGTCAATGGGCACCTTTCCCTGGGTGGCGGCTTCTGCCCCGGAATGGCCCGCTGCTACCAGCCAGGTACTGATGGTCAGTTTCCAGATCCAGCCTCCGTTTCACCTGTAGCAGAAACACAGGAATATGCCCAATAACCAGGATTGACACCACAGAAGACTTAGCTAGGGGCTTGGTATCCCAACCCCAATCTTACATCTGTGTTAGGATGCCCAGGTGTCCTGAGGAACACAGCATAAGGTTATTATCCTACCACACAAATCAGTCAAGTACAAGGCTGAAGACCGGGGTTCAAATTTTGGGTCAAACATTACCTCCCTAGGGCTGGTAGTGGTTTTTAAATACATCAGCAAAGAACAAAGCATCGCTGTAATGCTAGAGGTTAAATAAAGGCCTGTGAACACTACCACACAATCTACCACGTAGTCTCCTCAGCTCCTACAAATACAAGCCTATTTAGCCTAGGCTGGCCTCAAACTTACTATGTAGCCAAGGATGACCTTGAATTTCTTCCTGCCTCTACCTCTCAAGTACTGAGCTTATAGGCACATGCCACCAGCACTCGCGGCTTTCAAAGATAAGTGCTAACTAACTTTCTCCCCTTAAATCCAAGCTGGGAGAGATGGTGTCACTTCTGAGACTGGTCACTGTGACAATGGTGCTGCTTCTTCTGAGGTGGCAGGGGGTGGGAGAAAGCTTTGTGCCATATTCTCAAGTAGCCCTAAAGATAAGCCCCTATGGCAAAGAGCTGAGAACTCCAAGTGAGCGTGGAAGCAAAGCTTGGAAGCAAATTCTGCAACCTTAGTCCCACTTCCGACTATAGCCAGCTTTCTGGCTGCAACAGGGCTGGCTCATCTCTGGCTAGAAGCATCAGCTAAATCTCCCTCAAGTCCCAACCCACAGACACTAGCAACAAGTGCTTTAAGCCACCAAGGGAGGGTCCAGGTCCCCCAGGCAACTCTCACCTTCAGTTTTTAACTCATTTACATATTTATAACCACAGCAGCAGCCAGAGCTCACCAACTGCTCTGTGCTCATCAACGCACTCTGCTCTTTGGACTGGCCACACCACAACAGCTCCACTTTGCAACCTACATACAAGACCACAGAGAAGTGGTACAGCCACTTACCAGGTCTGTCTGAGACAGACCCCGAGCTGCTAATCTCCATGCCCTCTAACATAAGTTCTAGTACAGTGACGGGAAGGACCCTCAAGTCCCACAGATAGCTCAAAACACAGGAACTGGACCAAACCTGCTATCCTCTCACCAGCCACAGGCCTCTCTCAACTAAACCCTCTCAACCTGGCCCACCATCTGTCATATTCATTTGCCAAGAATTCTACCCACAGCCATTATCACCCTTCCACTGGACAGTACAGCCGTCCCCATGCTGGTCTCCTACATCACTGCCTCAGTAAAGCCTTTCAGTGCACTCCTCATACGAACTGTGGAGATGAGCTTCTTCCAATCCCTGCTCTCCGGCTATCCTATGGCCCCTCCTCACACCTGTAGATGCCTCCTGCAGGACCCTTAACAATCAGTTCAGAGAACCCTTTTCTCTCTCTGTACTGCCTCAAACCTGGCCTTTTCCTCTATTAAAAACTACAGCAGATGTGTCTGTTCTCCCTGTCTACCGCCTCCACCTAGAAAGTGCCATTGGACACTAGATCAATAAACCTCTGCATCACTGTCCACCACAAGCCTCAGTGTCAGTCAACACCCTTACACTGCCACCGACTCCTGGAACCCAAGGAGGAGGACAGCATGAGAGTAAGCCAATCACATGCAGGCAGACACTGCCTTTGCTGTCTGTGCCAGAGCAGGGCTGTAACTAAATCCCATACATTTTCTCAGCAAACTCTTGTCTGATTCCAGGACCTATGACAGTCTTCACCTTGGAAGACCTGTAGTCAGGGAGAAACCCAAGTATATCCACCCCAATGGGATGATACAGCCCCATCCAGGAATGCCCATGCCCATCCCCAAAGGCATGCTTTAAAGTAAGAGCTGAAAGCGATGCTTGTTTCTGTCACTCATCTTTAGACATCCCTAGCACTGAGATCCTTAAAACCACAGGTAAAGATACTGATAGCTGAATGATTCACCCACATAAAGGGCACAAAGCTTTGTGTAGCCCCTGGAATAGCATGTAGTCTCAGTAAAAGACCAAGGCAGGCCCAGGCCAGCACAGAATGCTCTCACAGACATACAAGGAAACCACTGTGACAGGCTAATACATATATGGTCCCTTCTTGGACTAAAAATCTCAGGAGCTGTTCTCCAGGTCAGTTTCTAACAGAGTGTGTTTCAGAAACAGGAGCACTTCTGTGGGAGAGCCAGGGCAGGCTGCTCCCTCCTCTGGGCAATGTGAATGATGTACTGTTTGACCACAGATCAGGCTCAGGAAAACCTTGAACTCCTGATCCTTATACCTCTGTTTCTCAAGTACTGGAGTTAGAAAGGTGCCATCACACATGGCTCACAGCAACTTTTAGAGCTATTAAAAGCAAAAGTTCTGAAGACTGGGGACTGGCAGAGTACTTATTCAGTATGCATTCAATTCTGGGTTCAATTCTCAACAGTGTTAAGAGCTCACAGTGACCAGTCAGAGAATCATATAATAACAGCATTACACCTAAAACAAGAGTGCTGAAGCGCTGGCTCTCTCCTCTGAGCCTGTCTTTTACAGACTTAATGTATGGTACCACATACTTTCTACAGTAAACAAGTCCTACATTATAATGGGAAACCTCAGCCTCCTGCTGTTACTGTTTTGAAATAGGGTCTTTGTAGTGTAGGCTGGCTTTGAACTCAAGACTCAGTGTCCTCATTCTTGCCTGCTTGGATTATAAGATATGTCAATTAACCAAAATAGGCTGTTGGTATTTTAATGTTTTTATTTAACTAATTTACTCTTTAAATTATTTTCTTTTTAAAAAGAAATTTGTGTCTGTATGAATGTATGTGAACATGGGTACCAAAGGACAGGAGAAGACAATACCAAATCCCTTGAAACTCGAGTTAGTCATCTGTGAGCTCAGTTGGGGCTGTGATCCAAACAAGTTGTCATAATAGAGCAGAAAGTGCTCTCAGTGGCTGAACCATCTCTTCAGCCCAACTTACTTTAAGGTAAGATTGGCTGGCCTTGAACGTGTCAGTTCTCCTATCTCTGCTTCTCCTTAGTCAGCCCCCCCCAAAGGATCCGATCTACACACACACACAGACACACACACAGCCATGACAAGGTAGAAGTGGGTAGGCAACAGAACAAGGAGGAATGTCTGAATTGCAAAGAGGTATACAGAGGTACACAGGAAGCACCCAGCAGGTGCTCACTGGGCTGAAGCCAGCCTGTAGCTTATTTCAAGGACTGCCCCCCCCCCAAAAAAAATTCCAGAGCAAAGTCAGTAGAGGCCAAAATCCAGATTTGCATTCCTGGCCTTTGGCTCTGGGATGGTGTCAACCTCTCCCACAGAATGTTTGCTGGCCCATAAGTACCATGGGGGCAGGGGATCCTTAACTACCTCCGCACCTAGCACATGATGGGGACTCACTCAACAACTTGAGTGAATGGAATGTTTGCTCAAATGTAGAATACCTGCCCAGGGCCCAATCTCTTACCTACAGGTACAGGCGCCTGGAGTTACATGCAAGGGAAGCCAGCTGACCCACTAAATACTGGCTGGCCACCTCACTGGGAGGAAAGGCCTTTAACAATCAGGAAATACCACTCCCTAGCTGAAAGATCAAGAAGTTCTATCATTTGTGGGCCTCAGCCTCCTCATCTGTGAGGATGAAAAAGTAAGGTTGCTCACCGGGTTAAGTGGATAAAGTGCTTAGCACAGAGCCTGGCACACAGACATCCTCAAAACAATGGTGGTTGCTATTGTCATTATTATTAGCATCTTGGTGATTCCGGAAGGAAGGCAGCACTGGGAACTGCGCCAAGGGGGCTATGGGCCTTCACTAAAATGCCTAAGGGACCAGCTGCCATCCAAACCCCCGTCAGGAGTTGAACAGCTTCCACTCTGTTACTGGGCCTTGCCCCTCCCACTTGCTCCAAGCCCCCTGCTGAGAACTCCTCCTGTTTGCTTCACCCCTACAATAAAGTTGGTGGCCCACTTGCTGAGCTGGCCCCAGCTTTGATCCAAGTTCCACTGCCTTTTCTAGGCCCCCAGCCTAAAGTGGTCTTGAGCTACTTGCTGCTTAGGATCAGGAAAAGACTTGATCCAGGGATCGCCTTCCCACGTCTTCTCTCTCCAGGAACTGGAGGCCCCTTCTCAGGGGCCCAGCCCACCCAGTTTTTCCAGAGGCTCAGGGGTCTGTCCGCCTGATTAATAAAGTTCCATGGCAACCAGGGGCTGTAAGGGTGGCAGATGGAAGGACAGGCAGAGGAAGGGTTGCAGCAGCTGGTCCAGCACCCCGCCCCTGCAGAGACGGCCTCCCAGTCAAGAGTCCTATCCCCAGAGGCCTGGAAGGCCAGGCCTGCACCTGGCAAGGCCACTAAGGAGAATCTCCCGAAGATGTCTCCAACAGTCACCCTCTTTCACCTCCAACAAGCAACCGTGCACACTACCTAGCCATAGGTTCTGCAGTAAGTCAGCAGACATCAGTTCAAATACCAGCCCCACCATCTGCAGCTGCGTGAAGCACTTCCCTATCTCTGGGCCTCAGTTCCTCCCTCTGGCAGATGGGCACGTGACAACACCCAGTTCACAACAGAGTTGAGAATTTTGTGCTAAAGCCTGGGCGTGCACTAAGCAAGCACCAGCTGAATACACGTGAGCCATTATCATTAATGAATCCGACGCTCTGGTGAAGACGCTGAGGCCCAGAGCAAGGCGCAGCAAACAGCCAGGCAAGGCAGTCAGTCAACGAGCGCCCCGGGGCGGAGCCCCGAGGCCCAGCCCAGGCTCCGCACCGCCCAGCGCTGCAGCCCGCCCCTCCCCCGCCCGCGCCTAGGGTCCGTACCGGCGGGCGGCCGAGAGCCGGGCGCGGTGCACTAGGCGCGGGTCGGGGCGCCTGCGGCGTGGCGAAGAGCAGCACGTCAGGATCGCGAGGGCCAGCGGGTGGCGCGGCGGGGCCGGCGGGGAGCTGCGGGGCGCCGACATCGGGCGCAGTGGAGATGATGACGATCTGCGAGGAGTCGAGCAGCCGCAGCGCGCCCGCCCCGAGCAGGGCCTCCAGCGCCGGCGCGTGCTGGCCGCCCGCGGGGGCTACGGCCATGGTGCTCACGGCCCGCGTGGCCCGGGAGGCAGGCGGCGGCGGCGGCGCGGGCCCATGACGGCAGGCCGCGGCGAGGGCTCGATCCCGCTCCGCCCCGGGCCGCCGCTGCCTGCAAAGTCCGGGCCACTTTTACGCGCCAAATCCTTTTTGCCGCGAAAGAGCCACGCGCCGCCGAGCGCCTCCTCCATTGGCCGGCGCGGCTGTGACGAAGGCGGCTCCGGTGGCGGACATTGGTTGCGGCGTGCGGGGCAGGCGACGGAGGGTGGGACCAGGGGCGGGGTGGCCAATCACGGGGCGTGGCGCGCGCAGGCTTTGTCCGGGCGGTGCCGGGCGCCTTCTCCCCTCTACCTCTTGCTGCGCCCGGCAGGAGGCGTGGGCAATGGACCCCGCCCCCTTCACCGCCCACTCGATGGGTGGCGGGGTCTGGTGAAGGGAACAAACTTCGTACTCGGTTCTGCACGTCCCGCAGTCTCCACATGCCACATGACCCCCTAAACTCTCAACCTATGGTCTCCACCCCTTCAGTTTACAGTCCAGAAACTGCCTCTTCGGCACGCTCAGGCTCACCTCCAAAGCTCTCCTCAGCCACATCTCCAGTCTTAAGACCCATTTATTCCATTGGTTCACATCATGAGCTCTTCTCTATCCTGTCACCCAGAAGCCAAACCCAAGAGGGGTGCCAGGAAGTGAGTATGGATGTGTGGTTTTGATCTCAGTCTCATTTTACTGAAATTTCTTTCGTAGCCAGCACCCAATTTGTGTTCATTCATCTGCTCACTCCACAATGGCGCCTGTCTTTAATCCCATCACTTGGGAGGCAGAGGCAGGCGGATCTTCCGAGTTCAGGCCATCCAGGACTGCACAGTGAGACCCTGTCTCAAAAAAATCACAAATGCCTCAGAACCTGTTGATTGTCCCATCCTCGGGCCAGACCTTGACTCTTGACTTAGTGAAAAGGAAAAAAAGAGAACCCAGAGGGAGCAGATGCTTGCAATGGGAAGAGATTGGTTCATTAAAGTATCTCCAAGTTAGGCCTCACTTAGGGCGGCGCAGGGGCGGGGAGAGTGCATATGGATGTGCCTTTAATCCTGAGGTCCTCCATCAGCATTTCTGATTGCTCAGGTCAGCCCATCTGATCAGCATTGTCCTCTGTACTAGGCATCCTGCCAACACTGGGAATAGAAACGAGAAAGGTTTAACAAGACCTACAAACTTCCTGCCCTTGGGGGTGGGGATGACCACAAGAAGAGAGTAGCTGACAATATTAAGTCCCCAAGACCAGTGTGAACTACGAGGAACTCCAAGCCAGGGTTACTCTCTCCAGCGACTCATGCTGCTTTATCTCTGTCCCAACTCTGACCACATTACCCTGGGCTGGCTTGGGGGGGGGGGGGGGCTGTTTCTCATACCCTTTCTGGGTATGAGAGAAATGGCGGCTGAGGACAGAGACGAGCAAGGATGCAATAAGGAGCCCGTGGTTTCCCAGGACCCAGAAATACCAAGGCACTGGCTAACTTTGAACCACCCCAGCTTGGCCAATTTAGAATCAATTCCCCAGATGCACCCCTTCCCCTTGTTTTGTTTTGGTTTTAGGGGGTGGATTTTTAGTTTGTTTCTTTGTTTTTGTTTGTTTGTTTATTTGAGACGGGGTTTCATTATCTGAGTCCGGCTGTCCTGGAACACGCTTAAATCTGCCTGCTTCTGCCTCCCAAGTGCTGGGATTGAATGGGTGGGCTACTACTCCTGTTTTACTTCTTGTTTTTTTTTTTTTTAAGAGATAGAATCTTGCTATGTGTAGCTCAAACTGAATCACTATAACACCTTCCTACATCGGCCTCCTGAGTGCTAGAATTACATGTCTGGGCCACTACACCCAGCTCCAGCTTAGAATCTTTTGGTCAAGATTGAAAGAGCTTAAGTCCTAGGATGGCCTGGACTGTGATACAACAAGAATAAAAAATAAAAAAATAAAAAAATAAAAATGTAAAAAAGAAACACAAGGAACATGCATGCCTACCCTGGATAATATGTTGATCTTTGAAAACAAATTGGTATACCTTTATAATAATGTGGAGTGAGACTGAAAATTACAGTTCCTACAGCTGGGTACAGTTGCACACACCTGTAACCCCAGCAGGTAGATATAGGAAGACCAGGAGAGGTCTAGGTCATCCTTGGCTATACAGGCAGTCAGGGCTACATGAGATCCTGTTATAAAACAAGCAAACTGCAGTTCCCAAGGATGCTTTCCAGTTCAGTTTTGTGAAGAAAAAAAAAAAATGGTCACCTAGATCTTGCCTCAGCCATCTCAAGTTTTCATGAGGATAAAAGCATAGGGACTAGAAAGTGTTCTGCAGACTCTGGTGGTTTGGAAAGCAGCAAGAGTGCCTTTCCTTCCCCCACTCATGAACAGTTTGTGGAATTACTCATTGCAAATCCTGGAATGTGTCAGAACAGGGAAGGACCACAGAGAGCACACGAGCCTCTCGCTGTACAGATGGGAAATGAGGCCCGTTCAGGGCTGGTGCCTGCAAATTCAGTGACAGAATGTGACCCACACTAGATCCCCTGACCTGGGTCTGCCTGTGCCCGTGTGTGTACTGCCCACCCTCCAGAGCACAGCGGAGAAGCTGAAGGCTAACCTTCCACATAACCACGCCTGACACTGGCACTGACAGAGGATGAGAGAGGTCGGCACATTCTCATACCAGATGTAGAGTTTGCTGCCTCCTGGCTTTCCTAAGGGAGCCATTAACAATGATGCTCGCTTTTGTAAAGCCTTCTGCTACTCAATAGTCATTCAACAAACACTTACTGGGCATCTGTTCTATATCGAGGATCAAGATGGTTGCTGGAGGGGGAACATAATATCGTCCCGATTTACGATGATGAAACTGAGTTTTCCTAGTACGTTAAAAGGCTATACTACCCAGAGTTGGAGAGGCCAAGGCCTGGGGCTTTGCAAAGCCATACCCTTCCTAAATATTCAACCTCACATCCTATAAATGCCTACAGTCACAGGCACTCTGGGGGTCAGGGTGAGAAGACAGTTTCAATCTAGAGATTCAAGGGCACCGAAGCCTCAGGGAGAAATCGTCATATCCATCATAAAGAGGGAGCAGAACTTAAGCCAGGTGGGGTGGCCCACGCCTTTAATTTCAGCACTCAGGAGGCAGAGGCAGGTGGATCTCTGTGAGTTCAAGACCAGCCTGTACTACACAGAGAATCCCAGGCCAGTCGGAGTTACACAGTAAGACTCTTTCTTTAAAACAAAGCAGAACAAAACAACTATATATCCAAGTGACAGAGGTATCCTTTCCCACCAGCCCCCCAGGTTCTGAGCAGTAGAAATTTCAGAGTGTGGGGTGAAGACTAGAATTCCCTGCAGGAAAATGAGCTTTTGGATCTGTTAATAAGTAGCAGACAGCTGAAAAGGGCCGCAGAGTTGGACCCCCTGGCCCAGAGCCTGGAAGATGCCGATAAGGCTGTTCTCAGCGTCAGCAGTTCTCCTGAGGCTGACTGGCATCCAAACACTAATCCACCATCACTGGGCAGCCTCTTCAATTGATGCTCTTCTTTCAACCTTATAATCCCAGAAGTGAAGCTTATTTATCTGCAGGATTCAGAAGGGACTCAGCTCAGAGAGGGTCCCTCACAGCTCAAGGTCACACAGCAAAGTGAGGTGGGAACTTAGCCTTGCTTCTCTGCAAAATCCAGGGATGCCCTTGATATTTGACATGCTCTGTTAATGTCCCAGGAGCCAGAATTAGGATATAATTCATGGCTTACAAAGGGTCTTAGGGTGGATTCTGGCTTGGTTAGTATGTACCCACACCTACCAACATCTATACCAACCCCATCTCTAAAGGAGTACCTGGAGGTAGTGTCTCCTGGTCCTGCTCTCCCTGGAGAGATCTTGCCTTTGGTTCTTTTGGAGATGCAGAATAGATGTGGTGGCGCACGCCTTTAATCCCAGCACTTGGGAGGCAAAGGCAGGTGGATCTCTGGTTTTGAGGCCAGCCTGGTCTACAGTGAGTTCCAGGACAACCAGAGCTACACAGAGAAACCCCGTCTATAAACAAACAAACAAACAAACAAGCAGAATGGTGCAGTACTAAGTGGCTAGACCTCTCATTCCATCTATCCAAAAAGATATAAACAGGAATCCTGGGCTGTGTGACCAAGATATAAACAGGAATCCTGGGCTGTGTGACCAAAGCTCACAATCATTTTCTTTGAACTGCATTCATTCATGCCATGACCATCTACTGAACACCCAGTGTGTGTGTGTGTGTGTGTGTGTGTGTGTGTGTGTGTGTCACATTGTAGGAGCTGGGGCTCTTCATCCATGAGCAAGGCAGATGCATCTGAGACACTTGGAGCCTGCAGGCTGGTGCAAGGCTGAAAAATTACTTCCACGGGACCTGCACAATATGCTCATTAAGAAGTTTGACAAGTGACAGAGATAATTTAAAGCTATTTATTCCACACAAACCTCCCATAAATATACATTCTTAGTTAAAAAAAAGAACTCTAAATATGAGCACCCCATCATTACAAGAGATACATAATTGGAAGAAATCTCTCTATGGTGACTTCATGTGATTAAGGGGCACAGAGGCCTCCATTGTTGAATCCTGGCAGAAGGCAGTGGGGAGTTCTGCATCTGCGAAATCTCGTTCCTCTTGAGTGATCCTATGATGCTACACTGACTGGCAGTTTACTGTCCCTAGAGATGTTCTGTCACCATGCCAGCTCTGGCTGAGTAGGCCCCCTACCCACTGGAGATGGGGTCTCATATAAAGGCAAGCGTTCAGAGCCAGGCAGACCCAAGCTCACCCTGACTGGCTGACAGTGCCTTACTTTGGGAAGGGGTTGTCCTTGCCCCTGGCCTGGAATGTGGGGAACAGTACTAAGACAGGTGTCAGGCTCAGATAGAGAAACAGGAAGTAGAGTTTTCAGACTGGCCCACGGAATAGTTTAATTTCAAAATTCAAGCACCTGGCTTTCTGACAAAACTGGCAATAGATCTTTAGTCCTAGCTCTTGGGAGGCAGAGGAAGGTAGATCTCTGACTTCAAGGCCAGCCTGGTCTACAGAGTGAGTTCCAGGACAGCCAGGGCTACACAGAGAAACCCTGTCTCGAAAAACAAAA